CCTTTCAGTTTGTTCAGTGATCTCACTATGCCATGTTAGATTGAGCTGGTGAAAAGTTGATGCTCCATCTAGGTATTCTCTCTGGAAAGGCTCTTGGTATTTTCAATGAGAATTTTTAAACTTCTGTTTTTAATTACAGGACATCAATGACTGGGTTGGACCACCAAGTAACTCAGATGGCTCAACAAAGCCTGTTACAATCAATGAGGACACTACCTGTGGCAATGACTGGGTTTGCGAACATCGCTGGCGTCAGATAAAGTAGGATGCTGTGGAGAAAAACCTAAGTGAAAGCAGTTGCTCTTGTTTCATGTTCCTCATGGCTTTATAGCCCTTGGATCCACGGTGACAAGAGTTTCTTGTGTTTCCAGGAACATGGTTATCTTCCGTAATGTGGTGGACGGTGAACCTTTCTCCAACTGGTGGGACAATGGCAGCAATCAAGTAGCTTTTGGCCGTGGTAATAAAGGCTTCATCATTTTCAATAATGATGACTGGTAAGTCAGTTGGAGAAATAGTGTCACTAGAGAGAACCATAGCATCCCTCATCAGTAATGTAACCTGAGTTAATTAAATGCATATCAGGACCAGAGAGCCAAAAGGGAGCATAGGGAATGAAGGGGATAGGATCAGAAAGCTCATGCTTTACACTGCCTTTCAAAGTAAGGGAGCAGCTTCAGGTTCAAAAACCTCATACACAATGTGAAATACCTGTTTTGTAAACAATGGATAAATAGCATTTGCTTATTTTCACACAGGAATATGAGTGTCTATTTGCAAACTGGATTGCCTGCTGGTACCTACTGTGATGTTATTTCTGGACAAAAGGAGGGTAACAAATGTACTGGAAAAAAGGTGTATGTTTCTGGTGATGGAATGGCTAATTTCCAGATTAACACTGATGCTGAAGATCCATTTATTGCAATTCATGTTGATGCCAAATTGTAATTCAGGAGAAAAGTCCACTTCTTTTTGGTCTGTGCATTACTGTTTCCCATATGTGCTTCCCTAGTTTTCAAGCATGGGTGACTCTGTATCTAGTGAATAATAAATGGAAATCAAATTGAAGAATAAAGATTTTTCCCTTAATGAATTGAATGTAACTTTATCACCTCATAACTAGTGGCAATGCAGTGGTAGGTTTTAAGTCAATGCAGCACTTCAGTTCCCATGTAACAAAAACATGGGAGAAAATGAAATAAATACAAAGAACCCAAATCAGCAGCTGGGCAAGTTAAAATGCAGTATTTCCAAGGCCCATAGAGGCACACACTTCTGTATCCCATAGCAGCCACAGTGTGGGCAGTCAGCAACAAGCAGTGCCTACACACAATTTATCCCTTTCTTGAGACAAAACAAACCTGGGATCTGGGTCAGTGAAGGAAGATGGTCCATGCCAATCAGTTATTCCAGCCTGTGGCAGCAGACAAGCCAGCAGGTTACATGGTTCACAGTCAGCTTGTGTCCATACAAACCAAATCCACAGCTCTTCTGTCATTAGCCCCAGTGATTTGCTGCAAATAAACATTCACTGTGGGAGTTCCAAAGGTGTCTGAGAAGCATGCTGGATATCCAGGCATCGCTTAGACCTTGTGCCAGTGGCTGAAGCACAGCATATTCTTTTCCCTGTGGCGCATTAGGCTCCCTTATTCTGTAATATCTAAGAGAATTACACAGATGGAGCACAGACCTAGTGGCTTTTCCAATTTCCTTGTCAGGTCTGAGAAGGTGCTGAGATATAAGTTAGTGTGTGGCCCTTACTTTAAGTCAGTGTCTGCTAGGCCAAAAGTACTTATTGTAACCCAATGTGGAGGTCCAAATGGAAGAAAGTTGTTAATATTTGCAATTTTGAGGTCAAGATGTATTTTTAAGGGCTGTTTCCCTTTTGTGGTGGGAGAGAGCGTATGTGTGGGCATTAGGGACAGATACTGGCTCTCAGTATGCCCAAGGGCTTGGAGTGTCTGTCAAGGCAGATATGGAATGGGAGGAGTGTCCCAGTCCCAGTGTTGGACTCCCTTGCACCACTTGGATCCATCTATGCAGCCCCTGGATCCGCTCACCAGCACAGTGTCAAAGATTGAGAGATTCATGTGGCAGAATGTTAAAAGCCATTGCAAACGTGTTGTTTGCCCACAGGGACAGGTCAGGAAGCTCTCCTGCCCCTTTGAAATTGACTGGCCTTGCCTGGTCCTTCTGGGTTCCTGTACCCTTTTTTGCTTTTAAGCCTTATGTTCGTACTAGCTGTTATTCAGACATTACCCAGTCCCAAATGGAATAGTCAGTCCACAATTACAAATTGCAAATCCACCCCCAAACTCCACAGCTTTTGTGGCACATGATTGAAATGACACACATTGATCTGAGGTGTCCAGAAAGCAACAGGAGGTGCTGAATATGGAGAAGATTATGTCTGTGCCTGTGAACATATGTGGATCCACTTTTCAATTATGTTGGAGTGTAGTGAGTGTTTTGCCTAATGTAGATTCAGATAGCTCTGCATTTCAGTGGAATTAACTAGAACACGGAGAAAAAGAAATCATGAGACAGGTGTAAGTAAAACTTTGTGGGCCAGATGTTCACTGCTTTGAAAGGACCCAACCTGTATTCAGACTTTGATTTTTATTCAGGCTTTTTGGCACATTGCCCTTATAATTTGAGCACAAAGGTGGTGAAGAAAGCAACAGTGTCATACAGAGCAACACCAGGTCTTTCAGATAACTCACAAAACCCAGAATTACAGTCAGCTTTACTGCTGATCTCCATGTTTTCAAGAAAGTGGTAGTACTAAGAAATGTTTATCTTTATTATTATAATTTCTATTACTACTCTTCTATATGTAATGTGATGACACTAAGGCTTTAATTTTGTATAGCAATAATCAATGAAAAATTGAAATTGTGTTATGAAATCTGTCAGTTTTAAAGTAAGATATTTTCTGGGTCACAACAGGATGTCTAACAGATCTGATGAAGTGTAAGATTTTAGAATTTTGTGGGCATTATGCAATATTTCATTTTCTGTTGAAAGTAGTGCTCACTTTCATTGGACAGACAGCATGTTTAATGAGTAATGTCAAAATCTGTTACAGGTTGATATTCTAATGCTTTTGGCAATATTACCGGTCTCAAGCATTCCAAAATACCATCTGAAAATCTAGAAATTCTGAGATTTAAAAGAAAGTAATGGTTTGAATTAGAATTGGTTTCTATTTTCCCTCCAAGTTTGGAGTTTTCCAAGTACACTCTCTTCTCATTTTTATATTTTATTTTGAAATTTGGCATAGAATTTAAACATGTAAAGAGCTACCAAGCCTAACCAGCTGGGATTAAGCACATAAAAATAAATAATTCCATTTTTAGGGATATGCCAGGTAGGTGATTGGAAGAAACTGGACTATGAGCTAAGGTAAATACTGTTGACTTTTTACATACTATCAGGTTATCAGATTGGTTTTAAAGTGAATGGAAGAAAGATGATGGTTAGTAGTAAATTATTTTTCCTTTGGGATCAGTGAGCTTTCCAGAGAAGTTTAACTAGTTCTGTTATACAATTTCCTTTCAGTTCCTTCATTGCAGAAGTGCATGAATGCAGCTGCTGGGTCATGAAGAACTGCTCAGTTGACATTGGTGGGGCAGAAGGTGAATCTTTCCATGTTTACTTATGATGAATAAGATAATAGTGTATCTGAGAAGATACACTATAAGATAATAGTGTATTATTTGCCTTCTGTCCTCCTCCTTTTGTCCCTCCTCCAGTTGCCCTCTGTTCTACGATACTTCCCCATATTTTTGCCCCAGTTTTGCTTTTCCTGCTTTTCTGCCTCTTTTGTCATGTGCTGAGTACCCTTTCAGCCCTAGCCAGCTCTCCCTCTGTGCTCTCTGGAAAGCTCAGAGGAACTGTGTGAGATTCAGAGAGCCATGAAGAGGGAAGGATCTTCATATTTGTTTAGTATGTGAGACAGAAAACCCAAATTAATTCTTGCAGCCTATATGATGGCCATTTTCACTTCCACTCTTTGAACAATTTGATATCTTTACAGAAATCTAACATCCTCTTGGATAATGCAGAAAATAAACAACCCCCAAAGCAATGATGATTTTATGGAAGCTTTCACATTTATGGTACACCGAAGCTACCAATGGTGAGTGTTGAGAACACCTTTAAATAAAGAACAAGCTGTTTATTTTCTTTATACTGTGCTGGAGCAACAGTGGAATGAGTCTATAACTACTGTCCTGTAACTACCTTATTCAGGCAATATGAAGCATATAGAAGTATGATTTGGAATAGCTACATTTCTTAGGTACCACAATTCAAATTAAGCAGAACACTGTATACATCAGCACGTTGATCAAGCATGGTTTGTTTTGTGCCATACAACATATGGAGCCATTTAAGGGAAGTAGACCAGAACAGAAGGAAGATCAATGCAGAGATAATTAATTTGCAGCATAGGTACAAGAAAAATTCCTTGAATTATTTCACCCAGATGGTCTATAAGTATCCATTATTGGCAGTGAAATCCCTTGGAGAACATTTTAGGGACAGTAGTTAAATGGTTTTACAGGGAAAGTTTAAGACTTTAACAATTCTTGTTGTAAACTCTATTATGGCCCTCTAGTTGACCATCTTAACTTCTGTTATTTCTACACTAAGGAAATTTTGGGGCTGCTGTTAGATCCTGAACAGTTAACACCTGAAAAATCAATGAGGATTTTCTCATTTAACTAATTGTACTTGTATTTAATTGGGTGATAAAGAAAGAAAGGTCCTTTGCTTTCTAAATAAATGTTGTGGTTGGGTGTTTTATTGCAATGGGGTGGGAAAGGCAGTAGAAAATTGTCAGTTCTGTAAGTATAAAACACTTGCTTCACTTCAGCTTCTGACAATTAAAATACAGAAAAAGAACAATAATATGAGCATAGCAGTAGATGTAATTTTCTTTCTATGTCTGTTCATTTTGGCCATGTGTTCTCTGAATATGTGTAAACAAAGCACACTGCTCTGAATTAAAAACAACACAGTATTTTAATAGTGGAGAAGCTAATGTCCCTCTGTACATTATAATTTGGACAACTTTGATGTTGTCAGTAGATTATGTGATGAAAATATAGAAATGTCCTCACAAAAGAAAGGTTCATCACTTCCCTTAGAAGGTAACATGAAATGTCAAATGAAATGTAACATGAAGTGTTGAGCCTAGACCTGTATTATGCCATAAATTGTCCACTGTTGTGTTGTCTAGTCTGGTCATAGTGATATTATCTTTTAGTGAATATTTGTAGTGTAATACTTATGCAGACTAAACCAGTGGTAATCCAATTGAAGACATCAGCATTTACAAGTTATTTCCTTTAGGACAGGGAGTAATTCACTATGGAGCTGTGCAACTGAACTATGTGTGTATCTAGCTTTCTGTGAATATTGGCTGAACATGTTCTCAAAAAGGTAACTTTTAATGAATATTATCTTTTCACCCAAAGTAAGAAAATTAATAGCTCTTGAAAAAGAATATCCTGTCAAAATTTTCACCTGCTTTGAACCATTCTTGAAATAAAAGTCAGTGAAAAAATGTCCCTTGCTATATTTAACCAAGGGGTTAAATAAGTTTAAGTAGCCCTTCAACCACGGCAGAATCTTAGAGATGGAGCTGTCCAGGTTATTTTGTTCACTCAAAAATATACTGCAAGTAATACCATACTATACAAATTCACAAACATTATTAATTTCAAATAATATATATTTCCTGGCTAAATTGGTTACTTTTTATTACTAGTTTTATCCATATCTAGTAGAATCCTGCACAGAAAAATCAGATTTTTGTAATCAGAGAACACACTGGTAGTGTGAAAGCTCATGCTTTAAGGATTGACTGAAGGCAACAAGAGTTTTCTGGTTATATCTTTTATCTTCAGTAAGTCAGAATAAAATCACCTTTACAGCTGAAT